ATAAATGTCAGGTTGTGCGCCATCTTGGTACACATACTTCGGGAGCACCAAAAATATAACTTTGGATCTCGTTGTACAACTGGTATCACGATATTTTGCGGGTTCAAATTCGGTGAATTCTTTCAGAATAAATCTTATAAAGGTTTCAAACCTAAGATTATGAAGCGGAGTGGGGGTTGTTGGAGGGGGTAACGGATGTAAATGTATATATGTTATACTTTGATTCCTAACAAAGGCGCATGAATACGTTTATATTTCGCAAAATGAATTGATGTGTAGGTGAGCACTATTTTCAGCGTGAGTATTTAGTCAACATATCAGCTAATTCGCACTGTGGAATCTCCAACGTCATCATATTTGCTCAATCTCCTGTCTGGGTCGATCAGTCAGTTAGTTAATCATTTATTTGTAATCTCAAGAAAATAGGGCACAGTAATTGATTTCTTTTTATTATTTGGAAAATAAATATAAAATTAACGTTATCTGTGACAAGAGTCCGCGAGATCTTAACGAAGCGACAAATATGACGTTGTTGGGGGGTAGGGGGCGGAGTGGGGGTTGTTGGAGGGGGAAGCGGATGAATACACACATAATAGATAATACGCCAGAATACCAGGTGACGAACAAAGAAACTCGGTTGGGCTGGGTGCGGTAAAAATCTCGAGTTAGTGACTGGACGGTATATGGATACCGTACTGCAAATCAGGATTTGGTTGAAAGTATCATTTCTACGATCACGGTTTGTGCAACTCTAGTATAATATGTATAGTATAAGTTACTTATGCTTGCAGGCTGCACCGTCAATTTGCCTAATTTCGGACAGAAAATTCAAACGGCAATATCTTGACAAAAAATCGACGTATAACCCCAATTTTAATTATTGTTGATAACGCTGTTATTTGTACATCAATTCTCAACTTTTTTAGGGTTGCATATTTAATTCTTTTTTCAAAAAGGCCGGAAGTTTGCCGAAAAATGATTGCCCGCTATTCGGTCGATGGCGTTGACAATATATATAATTTATTAGTGATCGCAAGATGTCGTACGAGATTTCAATAAAACCTAAAATTCAGATTTATAAGTTCCGTAAAAATATTGCTGTATTGAGATTTCAAGCTGCTTCACCTGATGTACGTAGATCATTTTTGCTCACTTCCAAGTCCAACGATGTCAAACCGCGTTGCGGAAGTCTTTAGATGAGGGCGCCGAGTTACCATGTTTTTTTATCACTATTTGGTCTATCCACTGAATGAAAAGCGCATTTGTATCTTTGGCGCCAACCTGGTGTTACTCAGCGAGACTGCTTTTCTTATTAGGATGCTATTTAAATAAATGGAAGTAAACTGATGGATCAATAAACCTAATATGTACACATTTGGCCTCTCTTGTTAGGTTTCGATTTTTAAATAGAAGTGTTTGTTGAAAGGGCGCGTAGTCGTAGAAAAGTCATTTCCGTTATGAAGGATTTTAAAAAATATGGCTCACCGGAAATATGTGTACCAAGATGACGCACAACCTGAACCCTAACCTGATACACATAAATGTTCAGGTTGTGCGCCATCTTGGTACACATACTTCGGGAGCACCAAAAATATAACTTTGGATCTCGTTGTACAACTGGTATCACGATATTTTGCCGTTTCAAATTCGGTGAATTCTTCCAGAATAAATTTTATAAAGGTTTCAATCCTAAGATTATGAAGCTCAAGGTTAAATATTTTAAACTATGCGAATGGGTTGCCTCTTAGATACATTAGGATTAGTAAAAAATGTATGTTTTTAAATAGTATATAGTTTTTTGTAATGTTATACTTTGATTTCTAGCAAAAGCGCATGAATACGTTTATATTTCGCAAAATGAATTGATGTGTAGCTGAGCGCTATTTTCAGCGTGAGTATTTAGTCAACATATCAGCTAATTCGCACTGTGGAATCTCCAACGTCATCATATTTGCTTAATCTCTTGTCTGGGTCGATCAGTCAGTTAGTTAATCATTTATTTGTAATCTCAAGAAAATAGGGCACAGTAATTGATTTCTTTTTATTATTTGGAAAATAAATATACAATTAACGTTATCTGTGACAAGAGTCCGCGAGATCTCAACGAAGCGACAAATATGACGTTGTTGGGGGGTAGGGGGCGGAGTGGGGGTTGTTGGAGGGGGAAGCGGATGAATACACACATAATAGATAATACGCCAGAATACCAGGTGACGAACAAAGAAACTCGGTTGGGCTGGGTGCGGTAAAAATCTCGAGTTAGTGACTGGACGGTATATGGATGCCGTACTGCAAATCAGGATTTGGTTGAAAGTATCATTTCTACGATCACGGTTTGTGCAACTCTAGTATAATATGTATAGTATAAGTTACTTATGCTTGCAGGCTGCACCGTCAATTTGCCTAATTTCGGACAGAAAATTCAAACGGCAATATCTTGACAAAAAATCGACGTATAACCCCAATTTTAATTATTGTTGATAACGCTGTTATTTGTACATCAATTCTCAACTTTTTTAGGGTTGCATATTTAATTCTTTTTTCAAAAAGGCCGGAAGTTTGCCGAAAAATGATTGCCCGCTATTCGGTCGATGGCGTTGACAATATATATAATTCATTAGTGATCGCAAGATGTCGTACGAGATTTCAATAAAACCTAAAATTCAGATTTATAAGTTCCGTAAAAATATTGCTGTATTGAGATTTCAAGCTGCTTCACCTGATGTACGTAGATCATTTTTGCTCACTTCCAAGTCCAACGATGTCAAACCGCGTTGCGGAAGTCTTTAGATGAGGGCGCCGAGTTACCATGTTTTTTTATCACTATTTGGTCTATCCACTGAATGAAAAGCGCATTTGTATCTTTGGCGCCAACCTCGTGTTACTCAGCGAGACTGCTTTTCTTATTAGGATGCTATTTAAATAAATGGAAGTAAACTGATGGATCAATAAACCTAATATGTACACATTTGGCCTCTCTTGTTAGGTTTCGATTTTTAAATAGAAGTGTTTGTTGAAAGGGCGCGTAGTCGTAGAAAAGTCATTTCCGTTATGAAGGATTTTAAAAAATATGGCTCACCGGAAATATGTGTACCAAGATGACGCACAACCTGAACCCTAACCTGATACACATAAATGTTCAGGTTGTGCGCCATCTTGGTACACATACTTCGGGAGCACCAAAAATATAACTTTGGATCTCGTTGTACAACTGGTATCACGATATTTTGCCGGTTCAAATTCGGTGAATTCTTCCAGAATAAATTTTATAAAGGTTTCAATCCTAAGATTATGAAGCTCAAGGTTAAATATTTTAAACTATGCGAATGGGTTGCCTCTTAGATACATTAGGATTAGTAAAAAATGTATGTTTTTAAATATTATATAGTTTTTTGTAATGTTATACTTTGATTTCTAGCAAAAGCGCATGAATACGTTTATATTTCGCAAAATGAATTGATGTGTAGCTGAGCGCTATTTTCAGCGTGAGTATTTAGTCAACATATCAGCTAATTCGCACTGTGGAATCTCCAACGTCATCATATTTGCTTAATCTCTTGTCTGGGTCGATCAGTCAGTTAGTTAATCATTTATTTGTAATCTCAAGAAAATAGGGCACAGGAATTGATTTCTTTTTATTATTTGGAAAATAAATATACAATTAACGTTATCTGTGACAAGAGTCCGCGAGATCCTAACGAAGCGACAAATATGACGTCTGTACGGGGTCGGAGTGGGGGTTGTTGGAGGGAGGGGGGGGGGGGGCGGATGAATACATAATAGATAATACGCCGGAATACCAGGTGACGAATAAAGAAACTCGGTTGGGCTGGGTGCGGTATAAATCTCGAGTTAGTGACTGGACGGTATATGGATGCCGTACTGCAAATCAGGATTTGGTTGAGAGTATCATTTCTACGATCACGGTTTGTGCAACTCTAGTATAATATGTATAGTATAAGTTACTTATGCTTGCAGGCTGCACCGTCAAATTGCCTAATTTCGGACAGAAAATTCAAACGGCAATATCTTGACAAAAAAGCGTCGTATATCCCCAATTTTAATTATTGTTGATAACGCTGTTATATGTACATCGATTCTCAACTTTTTTAGGGTTGCATAATTAATTCTTTTTCTAAAAAGACCGGCAGTTTGCCGAAAAATGATTGCCCACTATTCGGTCGATGGCTTTGACAATATATATAATTTATTAGTGATCGCAAGATGTCGTACGAGATTTCAATAAAACCTAAAATTCAGATTTATAAGTTATAAAAATATTGCTGTATTGAGATTTCAAGCTGCTTAACCTGATGTACGTAGATCATTTTGCTCACTTCCAACGATGTCAAACTGCGTCGCGGAAGTCTTTAGATCAGGGGTTCTCAACCTGGGGTTCGCGAACCCCCTGGGGTTCACGAGAAGATTTCCAGGGGTACTTGGATGACAGTCGAGCTTTCGTGTGTTGCTTCTTTTTAATATCCCTTAATAAAGAAAGTAACTAAAAAAGGAAAAAAAGTTCCAATTGAAACTCAGCGTACATTTTGCCTGATATTGCGTTGTTGTAATTGTGACGCAACAATGTGAACTGCACGGCTTGGCAGTCGTTACAGCAAATAGTTAGTCAATATATCACAATTTAGTTTGGTGTCTGATTACTGCTTACTGGGGGTTCGCGTTGATTGTTTGGTGACTCGGTGGGTACTTAACAGAGAAAAGGTTGAGAACCCCTGCTTAGATTAGGACGCCAAGTTCGTGTGTAATATTTTCGTCATATTTGTAAGAAAATTACCATGTTTTATTATTACTATTAGGCCTATCCACTGACTGACTGATATGCAAGGCCTGGCATATTTTTTTAACCATCTCTGCATGTTTCCTCGATTAATATTTGTGCTTGAATCCCTAGAATCATAATAATAAAGATTTACATGTATTTCAATAACCTAGATTGACTTGTAACCACAATTTTTTTGTAATCTAGGCCTGGCTATAGATAATGGAACATTAGGTTAATATGATTGAAAAAATAGAAACAGTTGTCAACAGTATGTTCACATTGTTTTGATATAACTGTTCAATGAAGGATTAGAGGGATACTGGAATAATACTCTTATTTATTGGAAGATAAGGTAAGATTAATCACAATAATCTGTATGTGTCTCAAAATGCTTAATGGGTAATACCACAAGTATTTCTGGGAAGCTTGACTTTTTGTTCTCAAAGCAGAATGAAACATATAGAGCTTAATAATTACATCAAGATTTCAAAACCTCATTTGAACAATGTGAATATAAGTTATAACCATCTGTAAATACCTAACAAAATATAGGTATGTTACTGCTGCATTTCCCGACTAGTGGGTCAACCGACAAAAAAAAATAACAGAAGTATTTTCACTACACGACGCAAGTACTTCTATTTGGCATGACACAACCATTTTTGCTTATGTTATTCCTAACCCCCACCTGGCTCTGTCATCCAAAGATTACGTCTTTACAACCTAACAATCATGTCAAAAAACTTAGCAAAGTAAAGACACGAAAAGGCATAAGCATCGAAGATAATGAACTCACTAATGCCAGCCATCTCTCTCTAATGGGAAGCGATACGGCTAGAAAGCATGAGAAATAACTTGCTCAATTTCAGGTGATTGTCTGTGCGTATAGTTTGGACGGCCTCATTATGTTACTGTGGCATCGTAGTGACGTAATTTTTGAATGGCATAGTCAGGTGGGGGCTAGGAATAGCATATGCTAAAATGGTTGTGCTACGCCAACTAGAAGTACTTACGGTACGTTGTGTTGTGAACATTGTCCAGTATTTTTTTAACCCTTCAATATAACTGGACAATAAAATTCTTTTTGGTCAGTCAAGCACCAATGTGCCTCATAATGTTCATATTCTGAAGAATAAAGCTGTAATTTAGCATTAATAAAAAGATAGCAGCAATCATTTTGAACGACCCATTAACTGGAACGTTGATATAATCTTTGAATGGTGTGTTTAGTGAATCGGGCCCATAAAAGCAACTCAATAGCCAGAAAATTCGATATGTTGTTCTATTGTTTCTATTGATTCTATTGTTTTTTCATCAGGTGGTTTCTTTAATCTCAAGAATGGCAGATCAAGGTCAACAGCAAGAGGGAGCTAATATTGTGAACATCCAGGGTGAGATTTCATTCAAGTTATTACTTATCGATCTTAAGATCGGTAAGTATATTGATAGGTATTTGTCTGTATGTATGTCTGTCTGTTAGATGCACGCGATATCTCACGAAAGCGAGATTGAATCTGCTCCAGATTTTGCATGTGCATTCATCTTATCTCGGACCAGAAGCCTATTGATTTTGGGCGAATTATGTCGTATAATTAGCGAGTTATCAATCAATTATTGATATAGTGATCTAGATTTTTGTAAACCCGCCGAGTGTGTGTGTGCGATGCGCAGTGCGCAAGTTACAAGAGCGGATGAATCGAAACTGCAGTTTCTGTTTTGGGGATCCCCTAACTATCGATCGATAAGTCTTCGGTTTCCAACCGATATTCTCGTTTTAGTATTATTCGGTGTCTACAAATTTGAAAAAAAAAAATGATATTGTGAAGAACTTTGCAACTTGTGCATGATTATTATTGGCAATTATTGGATAGCAGTGACAGATGCTGAATGCCTTGAAGTCCGATTAAAATTCACTAAATTCATTGTGCTCTGCAGGAACTTTATTGAAATAAAATTTCAGTTTCATTGAAAATTATATTTTGAATCAGGAATGTTCACATAAAATATGGGTACTCCTGAAGTGTGCGTACCAAGATGGCGGACACCGGAACATAGTATGTGTACCAGGTTAGGGTTAGGCCATAATTTTAGGTTCAAATAGTACGAGAGTCACTTGGCTAGTACCCGAACTTGTAATAGAACTAAAATTAAAATAATGAAAAGAATAAAACTATGGCCCAACTCTAACCTGGTACACATACTACGTTCCGGTGTTCGCCATCTTGTTTTACATACTTCAGGAGTACCAAGATATATTTCTGGCAGGAAACCCGATTTCATAATATATAAGTGGATATTTAGGATTCAAACTATAATTTTCAATGAAACAGAGATTATAGTTATTTTCCTGTGAATGAAGATTGATTTGAACTTTTTTCAGGCTCGATTATTAATGAAGTTCATGGCGAAGTGATTCAAGTCGATAACATTCAGCAAGCTCAGGCAGAAGTAATTCACGCAGGCAATATTCAGCACCTCCATCTGCATTATGACAATAATGGTATGTTTATTTTACTTTCTCGGGCAATTTACTAACAACTGTTTCATTTTGAAGGTAATTTGTTTGACTTCGTGACATGGATAAAAGGAATAAATGTTTGGTTAACATCTTCCTATTTTAGATTTCACAGTTTCAAAGCGAATGAAATCCTTATTAGAAGTTTTACGCCTTCCTTTAAAACTTACCAACTAATTATTTCTAGCTGCTCCACCTCCAGTCGCACAACAACCTCAAGTACAAGCTGATGCAGGGTCTGCTGGGAATATGCAAGAGGAAATGCCGTCAACATCAGGTGAGAGTCAAGGACGATATTAAGTATTTTTATATGAATAAATAAATTACAAGCATTCATCCAGAATTCATACAAACAGCAATTCATTTGGGCATTAGCTGTGTAAAAACGGCTCCTGAAACTCAGATTAAATCGCCATGCTTGTCTTATTAAAGGTCTTTATGAAAAGTCAAATATATTTTTATCCTTTATACACGCCTTATGACCATAATAAATATGTTATGACCCCCTTAGCAATTTTGAAAATACCTGGAGCTTTGGACAGTTGTGTATGGTGTTTCTTTCATCGGGACAATGTGAAACTTTGTTTTAGCACTTCTTTTATTCTTGATCGGCCACCCTTTTTTGACATCTATACGTAGTTTCTGACGGTTTTGAATTAGCTTACTTCGATTCGAACATTTCCAAGTGTAAAAGGGGTTACACGGTAAAAACTTTGCGATTAGTTAGCCTGGTTAAAAAGTTATCTACTTCCTGGACCTACTATACATAACTCTCACTAAATATGTCATGTTCTCTTAAACAGGCTTTATACCTTTTTAACAAATATCGAGGTTTTTCCCCTCTAAACAACCCCCACAATATTCAGCCACATGTTTTCTAACAGTGTTTCAAAGTGCTTTGCCGTTCACATCACCCATACATGAATATTCCACTGTTACCAGCCAATGATAAATCACAGAACAGAAATAGAAACTGAGTTTTTTTTCAAAATAATGAATGCAACCCCAATTCGAGGACTTCCTTTACTTTTAAACCTGCTTATGAGTCATTATTCAATAACAAAGCCTCCTTCTCAAACATTTACTGTTCAAAACTACAGTAAAATAGCCTGGTATCGACTCAATCAATCAAATCGTAAACTAAGAATGACCTATTTTCAGTTGCTGCCACCTAGTGGCAGTGCTCTCTTTTCTTGTTTTGAGTGCTCTTGTAAAAGAGAATTGAAAAGAAACACTTTACTAAGCATTTGTGTTATATATAGAATTTCCAATCTCAAGTTTACCACTTTAACTATCGCACGCACCCATTATCGTATCCCCTCGTCTCTCACAGGATAGGTTTAGTCGGTTGAAAGGTGTGAGTGAATGTGATAGCTAAAATAAATTTAAATGTGAGGTAAATTAGCAGAAAGATAATACGACAACTGTGTGACATCATAATCCTAAGCCAAGATATCAAATTAGGAGTTCACTTTTCAACTGTTCTTTTTAGATATTGTAGACGAAGTAAATTTTGAAAAAAATTGCCTGGAGTTTGAAACTTTGGCTACCTTTGATATAGGCAACGTATTCTACAATATGTTTCTGTGCGATGATTATATGTCTTGCAACAAAGTATTTTCATTTTAATTCAGGTTCTGCATCTCGTTTACAAAGCAGAGAACGACGCAACATTGACTTAGGATACAGCAATCAAGATTTACTTGTGGCAGGTGAGTGTATTTATAATCTGTCCTGATATATTCATTGATTCCCATTTGTTTGAAGTCTCAAATGTTTTTATACGACGCTTACTCGTGTCTTTTGCTCCGAACACAGTCAATGTACAAGTAGCGGTACTACCGTAGTATGTGTACCAGGTTAGGCCATAATTTACTCAGATTTTTCCTTATATTTGTTCTATTTCGAGTTCGGGGTCTGTCTGTGTTAGCCAACTGAATACCCCCTGCCTAGAGGCTTCCGTCCCTTTACACAACTTGATGTAAAGTAGGCGAACAAAATTAGTTACCTCCATATCGGTACACATACTACTGGGGCGACCAAGCAGCCATTGATATGTTATTTTTGTAAGGACTGGAATATTTTTGGTTCTGCATTTCCCGCCCAATTTATTACACCCTGGTTTAGGTGAGGGCATGGGGCTTCAATCGCTAAACCAGGAATGCGCAACCTGCGGCCCACAAGAACAAATTGTGCGACCCGCAGGGGAATCCCAATTTTGAATGGCGTGCGGTCCGCAAAACAAGTTTTTACTGCAGTTCAATCTGGTAATTCCAGTCACTTTGTGTTGCCAAGACTATACCTGAGTCCAATTTGGTATCTATGCCTATGACAATACATTGCCCTAACAGCTAGCTTGTACGAAGTGAAAAAATATGTCATAAGATCCATATCTAAAGCTTGGTACTCCCGTAGTATGTGAACCAAGATGGCGTACACCGGAATGTAGTATGTGTACCAGGTTAGGGTTAAGCCATAATTTTATTCCAATTTTACTTATTTTAGTTCTATTACGAATTTGGGGACTAGCTAAGTGACACTCATAGTATTTGTACCTAAAACTATGGCCTAACCCTAACCTTTTACACATACTAGGTTCCGGCGTCTGCCATCTTGGTTTACATACTACGGGAGTTCCCCAAAATTTTTGTGCCTGCAACTACTAGAAAGCTTATGTTAAATGAAAGTGCAGCCCGCAGTTTCACCCACTTATTTGTATCTGGTCCTCCTGTATTGAAGGTTGCACACTCCTGCGCCAAGCCATTGCGTCGCCCAATTGCAACGTGTAGTCACTGCGAAGGCAAATACCTAAACTGTATCGCATCTTCTTAGATTGATTTTTACTTTACTACAACTTTTGATTGTAATGTTTGTTTTTGGTATAATCCTTCAACTTAGAGCAGAAGATATTTGATAGATTATAACTATCTAGTCTGCCTATCGTTCAATATGAGTTACTATCAATAAATTTTTACTTATGTGTACAAAATCGTTACTTATGTGTACATCTCTCTTCTATTAAGGTTCTGCATCATTATTACAAACAGAGAAACCTACGAATGTAGAAATTAAAGACTCAAACATTAACATTATTGGAGGTAAAAGCTTGAAATTTAAGTCTGATTGTGCTAAATTGTGTTGTAACCTGAGTTTAAATTCATTACTTAGCAAGCAAATGCATGAGTTCCACAAATACTTGGCTTTAATTCACTTAAATGTTAGCAGCATCTCAAAGCAGTTCACAAATTATGAAGCACCAACAAGACATGACTCAGGTAAAAGCATGCCATGTATGACTCCGCAGAAAATTGTCGATGGCAGTAAAACATATGCAACAAAGTTTGAATACCAAATACAATAAAAATTACCACAAATGGTAGCTTTGTCATTTCAGTTTTATACTATCATTAGGCTCATTTAAATTTCTAAGTCATTTTTACTTACTTGCTTTCTAAAGTCGATGTATAGCAGCATTGTTACATCTCGCTTAGTCTGACCAGATAATCACTGTCAATTAGTGGAATTTTTAGTTTGTTATGCTGAGGGAGACTCTTGTTTATATTGTAGGTGGAGGAATGATAACTAAGGGAGAAGGAGCAACGACAATTATTCGTGACAGCGTCATTAACATCGGGGAAAGATCACGTGATGGTAAATAAACATTTGATTTGAACAAATTGAATGACCGTCAAGATTTTGAAATATAATATGATGCATTTAGAATCGTAATAAAATTGGTTTTGACTCCTGGTTGACAAATATGTTACCTCCGTATTGGTAAATTTTTACTCTGACGCTAGCTCCAATTATTGGGAACCAATGTCCCGGTGGCAAAAACTTTCTGTTAGTGTCTTCTGAAAATGCAAGCCAGTGCTTTTCGAGTTTCCCTCAGAAATAATGACTTCAATTAATATCGTTTGAGTACTGACAGGTTCGACTCAACTCCAAGACTAAGACAGTCTGACTATATTTCTCATGTAGCCAAATGAATGCTGCGCTCTTCTCGACAAAATTTCTGGAGATCCTACTCATTTGTCAGTCATAATGTATTTTTGTAATCATATGTCATGAAAGTACAAGAAGAGTTTAAATAAATAACGGATTGTTAACAAACGATAATTAATAAACGTACACCTAATTTCAACAGATAATTGAAGAGTCTTGAAACTTTTTATCTGAAGGTGAATGAACTCGTTTGCGAGGCCTCGCTCGCGTGCCGAATAAATTGGCTCGCGTGCCGAATAAATTGGCTCGCGTGTCAGGCGTTGCCCACCCCTGCCCTAGGATGAGGTTTGGCCGTCCCAGGCATGTTATGGTCCTAAGGCTAATCCTAAACTGGTTATGCCACTCTTAAACGATCTGTATGCCTTGGGTTTTGTTCCTACTAATCATACCATGCCCTAGGAAAAATGTTTGGCTGCCATAGGCTATGGTCTTAGGGCCCATTCTAAACTGGGTCCTAGCTCCTTTAAACGAACTGTATGCCTTAAAAGGCTTTATTCCTACTGAACCCCAAGAAAAAGGTTATACTGGGCCAGTCATAGTCATCTTACTAAACTGGCTATGCCCCAATAAAATATGTTGTGCCCATCTCAGCCAAGCGATAGTCCTTCGAAAATATTAAGGTCATACCTAAGCTGAGTGTGCCAGTTATTATTGAAGATTTATATTTATGATTTCAGGTACAACAACAGCACAAAGAAAAAATGAATTTGCTGATGCCAGACTTGCTTCAAATGAATTACCTTGTCCAGTCTATGAGGTGACGCCTCCTCCATTAGGTGTGTATATTGATAATTATCGGATGTGTACTGGGCCTATAAGTCTCAACTGTTGTTGTAACGAAATTGAAAAATAATGGGAATTCTGGAATATGACATTCGACTTTTGTGTTTCTTATATTCGAGCAATGCTATTTTTTTCATCAACGTTCCCCCGTTTATTTTTCTGATTACTAGAGTCACCTCCCATACAAAATTTGATTGAAATGTTGTTGATGTCATAATTATCAAAAATGGTATTTATATTTTGAACAAAAAGTCATATGAGCTCAAAAAAAATATTACTGTTGAAAACCATACGTGGTAAATAGTATACCTGTTGATTTTAAGCTACGATCTATAACACGAAAAGACTTCTCCCAATACGATACTTGCGGTACCCTTCATACTGGTGAATACAAACTTTCATTTCATTAAAAATATTTGCTATATTCTTTCTAGGTGACCTACAACCTGCACAGAGATCCACTCACAGAGGTAAAGCATTTTTGATGAGTTTGATACTGGGTTGTTTGTAACTCTCATGTGATAATTATTAGTTCCTAAAATACCAATCCAACATATCCTTCTGGAAACTTCATATTTTACTTGTAATCTGAATGTGACCATTCGTAAACCTAATGAAAACTTTCAGATTCATGTGTTGTGCTTCAAAGTTTTTTCATTTAAATTCAGGTTCTGCATCTCCTTTACAAAGCAGAGAACGACGCAACGTTGACTTAGAATACAGCAATCGAGATTTACTTGTGGCAGGTGAGTGTATTTATAATCTGTCCTGATATAATCATAAATTTCCATTTATTTGAAGTGTCGAATTTTTTTATACGACAAAATTTTGCATTTTGCTGTAATCACCTTTTGTTTTTGCCAGCATCAAATGTCATTTAGCCCGTAAACACCTTCATGTCGGTTTTTGCTCTCCCTAAATCACAAATTTCCTTCAACATAGTACTCTTGTGCCACGCAATTATTTTTTGGCACTCGCAAAGAATTGTGAATCCAAAATCAGAAATTCCAACTTTGAAGCAGTCAGCGCTATTGCTTGGTATCTCATTGAAAGAGCCATCTTTTTTGCGTATAATGGCTTTTCTGGCGCGTAAAATATTCAATCCATGACAACTTCGAGATTCTAAAATGTCCTTCTATATAAATTTAATGGTGCTCCCAGAAGTATGTGCACCAATATGGCGGACACCGTGACGTAGTATGTGTACCTGGTTAGGGTTACGCCATAATTTTATTCCAATTTTCCTTATTTTACTCATATTACGGGATCGAGACTAGCTAATTGACTCCCACAGTATTTGTACCTGAAATTATGGCCCAACCCCAAACTGCTACATATACTACGTTCCGGTATCCACCACCTTGGTGCACATACTTCTGGAGTACCAATTTAATTGTGTCTAACGTAACTCATGGTTGCGTCTTCTTGTGCCAAAATAAGAATTTTACTACGGTAGGCGATCTGTGGACATAAAAATAAGATATAAACTGCCTAATGTATTTAGTTTTCATTCAGATTTTTGCAATCCTGCCAACTCATTATCGCTGTTAGAAAAATCTTAAGATTTGATGAAAAATCTTGTGGAGTAGCCTAAAATTTTATTTCCTCTTGTTAAAAATAAGGACTTTTTAAATGAATAATGAATTTTCTGTAATTCTGTAAGTAATCCATTACCGATACGAGCATGTTTAAAATGTCTCGCTATAATAATTTAATGGTCTTCAATAGGGCCCGACCGATACTGCCTTTTTAAACCGATATCGATAGTTTTCTAAAACTAGGCCGAAGATCTGATAGCGATGTTTTCTCACATAAAAAGATGGCTACAAGTAACAAGCAACACTCTGATAATTTTCTTTGCAAAAGAAATGAAATCTATACCAGAATGTTCAACTCGTGCAATGACGACAAAAAATTGCATAAA